TCCAAGTACTAAGAGCTGAAATAAAATTGTCGGCTTTGGAAGTAACTTTGGAACGCGCAGGCTACATTCTGAACGTGTAGTCCAGGCTGAGCCTGGAAGCATATTAAAACAAAGGTTTTAAGGCCCAGAAGACCCCAGGGATAGTTTTTTAAAGGTGATGAGATACTTAAAGATGTAGATTGGTACTTATTCAGGAGCCTTAAAAATGTCTCGCCAGATGCCTCTGTGTATGGCGAGGCATCTAAATACATCTGAATATCAGTCCCTCGGTCTTTCAGACCTGCAGTGGGTCCTTACTCTGACGGGTGCTTCAGTCAGTAAATCCTCCCTCATGCTGACATTAAACAATGCTGCTTAGTCTTTAGAAACTACACTAGTAGAAGAATTGCAGAAATTGCACACTTCAGTGCCCACCTCCTGCCTACTAATCTCCATGCTTAACCTTGCTCGTCTAAATAGTCCAGTGGAGCTGAGAGACGTGTATCTGCAGCATCTGGTTTTTGTGATGTTAGGGACTCTTTTTTCTTTAATGGATTAGCACAGAATGTTTTCAAGATTAGGATTCCTTCAGGTTCTGTCTTTCTAGTTCGAAACACCAACACTAGAGCCCTCAGAAAAAATCATTTTGATTCCACCAAAGTTCACACCTGACCTACGTTTTTTTTCAATTTTGACCATGCCCTTAAGAAATTAGCTGTCCCTTACTTCTGTCTAAGTCATCTGGAAGATGATTAGCTGCTGTCCTCCTGTGGGAATGCCTTGCTTTGATTGCACTCACTGAAATTTTACTCCATTACCTTGAATGCAACGTGTTCACCGAGGGGGTGGGCCAAGCTGTGTGGCTTTGACTGTGCATGAAAGCTAAAAGAGGTTTCGTGCAGGTTAACACAGGAAGCTTAAGAAATTGGTCACAGTTGTAAGATTTTTAAACCAACCTGACATTAAGTCGTACAAGAAAAGTTCTTTTATTAGGTGGTCCTTGATTTCAGGACACAATTTTACAAGTTGTTCATTCTGCATAGCTTTGGTCCCTCATAGGGGAAAAACATCTTGTGTCATATTTCATCATCTTGAGTCATTCTCTATCCCCCATCATGAAATATTGTAGAATTTTGATAAGAGATACTTATATTGGTAAGAACCCATGTATTTTCAAGCTGTAAAAAGACAGAGTTTATGAGAATCATTCTGCTTTGTAGAACGCATGAGGTGGACGTGTGATGGACACGCTCTTCTGACCATTCTTAGGTCAGAATGTGGTATCTTGCGTGTCATGGAAGCTTTTGTGGAGTACTGGATTTCCTGTAGTAAATCATTACGCACAGGGGTTCGTCAGCACTGTTTTGGTTACTTGGGGCTGTATTCAGACCAGCATCACAGTTAGTGGTACTAGACCTGAGGCTTCAGCTCAGTTCCCACAGAATCTAATCATGGTGCATAAAGTCAACCTTGCTTTGCTTTCTCCTTTCCCCATTTTGAATGACAGACTTCGCTAATAGGCTTCTGTAAGGCCCGCTCCTCTGTGCTGAGGAGAGACAATTATCTCAGCCATCCTCAGTGTACTATCACCTCAGCTCATTTAGGTGTGCTCAAAAAGACAAATAATAATCATTCTTGCAGAAAGCTCTTGCAGGTTGATTTTCATGACATGACACTTAATGATCAAACCAGACTGTGATTATTTATGTCAACTCACATTTGACTACAATGAAGAAATAAGTAGTGTTATCTTCTCTCCCTTGAAAATCCCGTTTTCTATTGGAAGCATTTTAGCAAAGTGGATTTGTTTTGTGTTGGTGTCCAGTTGAAGTTACATCAGAATGGCCTGTGAACGGGTGTTTTTAAAGCAGAATTTGCTCAAAGACGTTCACTTTTGCTTTTGAAATAATTTTTTGAAAGCCCAAACGTCACAGTTTCCTTTTTACTCTTCTGATGTTCTCTTTGCAGACTCCATTTCCAGCTCCATTTCCTTGATAGCGCTGCTGCCGATTCTGCTCGATCGGTAACGTAGGGTGGGCAGAGCTGGTACAGGGGCTGGGGCCAACCCTGTGCCGCTCAAGTTGTAACAGACTGGTCTGCTTTGAAAGGTAAAATGGAGCATGATATTTGTCATGGAAAAGGTTCTCAAGAACTCGGTGATCATTTTGTGACCAAATACTATAAATAATCCATCTTTTTCTCAGTCCTGTAGGTTGGAAAAATGGTCGCAATTTCTACTGTTGTTTCTTTCCAGGAGCATTTTGCAGTCCTAGAGACAATAAATAATTTCTTGAAAAGTTTGGTTGTGAATTATTTTCTGTGTCCTGGAGATATTTCGCTCAGAAGGGCAAGCCAACAAATCGTGATCAGGCAGTGATAGATCTGCTCCTCAGTGGAGCACATTCTTCATGCTGCTGTCAGGGGCGTCTTGGAGTCAGTGCTTTCTCTCACCCTCCTTAGTAGTTTATCCAGGTTCTCGCTTCCAGTCAGTTTGTTGAAGAATGAAATGTCCTTCTTCACTGCTTGGGCCTGTTGGGTTTAGTGTCTCTTTCCACCGTGGGATCTGCTGGAGGCACCCTCCATCAGTCCTTTGGTAGGTCCTTGCTCCGTTGGGTGTGCTCTACGTGCCACTCGCCTTTTGCCATCGCGCATCGCAACAGTCAAAGGCACCAGTCTCTGGCTTAACCTGTTACATGGCAGTCATCCTTGTCCTCCTGCTGAGCTAAATTAATGGGATGCTCTGCTCTCTCCAGCTGGGGCTTGACCCCAAATTTGGATGGAAGCAGAAAACAATCAGTTCTCCCTTTTTTATTTATCTCACGTTAAAAGAGGTGTGTCCTTTTTAGTAGTGTAGCATCTAAAAACTAACTGTATGGGGTACCTCTGAGTAACTTGTGAATTGTGTGGAGAATCTCACTCCTTTCTGTTCTTCCGAAGCAGCCTGTGCCGTGCAGTCGCTGCCTGGTGTGTACTCCAGCCTTGCTCGTTAGGTGCAAACGCTTAGTTAGACCACATCGTGATGCAGGCTTTCCTTAAGTGCCGAAAATGAAAACCTCGCTATGCTCAGTCTGCGTCAGAGCAGGATCGTGTTAAACCCCCAAAGCACTTGCTGGTGGCGTTGGGAAAGCTGTAGGTTAGTTCAGATCTCTGGAGCTTTTACAAGGGAGTTGACAGAAGCTTTATAATGAGCCCCCCAGCCCTTTTGTCCCCTTGCATAAATGGAAGATTTCACAAAACAGATTGAAAGGAGTTTCCATAGACCAGCTGAAATTTATTTAAATGTAATCAGAACGCTTGAATCTGCCCCAGCAGCATCCATGTGGTGAATAGATCCCGTCAGGACCGGAGCGGGGTCCGGCTAATGAGCGGTAAAAAGCGTCGGACGTGAACCAGCGCGGAGTGCTGAGGTGGTGGTGACGAAACCCTCGTTAGTCAGCTGCTTCTCAATTACGACGTTCTGATCATTGGCCGTATGGATCGTTGTTACGGGTGCCTGAAGCTACCGAACGAAGGCGAGGTCTGGTATTGGGGCCTTGGGAGCGTATTGGTGCGCAGGGTCTGATGCTGAACGTCACCTCCGGCCAGCAGACACTTGGGAGCCGGCGCTGGAAGGTGGAATCACCGTCTCCACCCAGTGCCGTACCTTCGGCAGCTGTAGGCTCCCAGTTACACGTGTGGAGTTCATGGGAAAAGGGTTTTCCCCTGGTACTTCTCCATAGAAATGCATTGCTTTCCTTTGCCCTTTCTGGCTGATACTTGCCCTTATATGCTGGAACAGAAGGGATTTTTCTTCTTCCTTTTGATTCAGGGTAATTACTGAGTTCAGACAGGTTCTTCCTTAAGTATCAAGCCTCTTACTTGAAGGTGAAGTACCTGCACAGAGGCATGTGGCTCACACGTTCACGTGGTGAGGTGACGTGGAGTAGGCAACATGCTCGGAGCATGTAGCTTGGCGTACGGTACCCCGGGTGAGGGTGGAGGAGGAGCGTGAAGGGAAGGAGCATGGGCTGGTGAAAGCAAAGCAAGTTAGTAACATTTAAATCCTGAAACTTGGGGCAAGTAGAAATACCTATAAAACAACTCATCAAAATATCTCAAAAGTAGCGGTTTGCAGCTGCGTGGTTCGTTTGGGGAGGGGGTCTTGTGCACAAATGCTGACAGTTGGTTCCCAAAGATTTGTGAATCCCAAGAGTTCCTGGGGTTGGCAAGTGGGCACTCACCCATCCTCACTGTGGGGCCTGTGACCCACTGACAGAACTGCTGAGCGCGGCGCTGGGAAGCACCCGGGGACCGGCAGCCCCTGGGAGTTGCGAGGGCTGGCTGCAAATAGATGTGGCTGCTAAGGTGATGTTTCACCAGATACCGCAGGAGGCTCTTTGCTGTAATGCTGTAGCGTGTCCAAAGCCAGACCAAACCCATAGCCGAGAAATTTGCCACAAAACCCAATTCTGCAAGCAGTTGAAGCAATATGCCCCAAACAATAGCTGATGGTGTCCAGCACATCCCAGACTTGGCTTGAATTGCTTTGGAGTAATAGAAAGTGCTAATTCAGCAATACCATGGTGTCAATGTAAACCAAAACATCGAATGCTCTGCTTCACCTACCTGCCCCTCCTGATGTCTATCAAGGTTTGATGTTGTCCATCATGTGTTGCGGAGAATGACTCACCCGTTTCACAGGAAAGCATCCAGATGTAACTGGAGGAATTTAATTATGGATTCTGTGTGTTCGTTCAAAAACATTTTTTTTTCTCTCTAAGGGAAGAAAGATGTTGAGCAAATAATACTATATTTAGGACAGAACTAACTTACTAAAATTATAGCTGTACCAACAGATAAATAAACATAAACTAGTAGCATGAACCATTAATGAAAGATAAATCGTATGAAGGGAAATGACAAATGTTTACACTTTTGGCAGGATTTAAAACGGGGCATGTCTCCTTATATACAGCAACTGTTTTAACAGCTGCTTTTTTTTTTTTTCTCCCCTCCCCTAAATTATTTCAGGTTTTTGAGTCATGATGCAAGAATCTGGGACTGAGACAAAAAGTAACGGTTCAGCCATTCAGAATGGAGCGAGCGGTGGCAACCATTTACTAGAGTGCAGCCTGCGGGAAGTGAGATCAAACGGCGAGACACCTTCAGTTGAAATTGGGGCTGCAGATTTAGCACATCTCCAGCAACAGCAGGTACTGTAAGACATATTACAAGTTTCCTACTTACAGAAAAAGCATGAAGCGTTTAATCCCATCCCCCAAACCCTTCGTATATGCTAGTCAGAGGATGCTTTTAGGACTTGCCTACGACATTCAGTACATTTTTTTTGTCCGTCAGGGATTGCAGTCATTAATGCAAAGGGAAATGTTGGACTTCTCTTCAGGGGCTCCTTTTTTATCATTCCTTGGAAATACCCAAGGATCAGGGCTCGCTTCCATTGCCTGAATGTGTTGAGTCTGGTGGCAGTGATTGGGCGAACCGCTGTATACAAATCACTGGTTTCCAAAATATGTCACTGGGTGGAAAATACACTAAGTTTTTTGGTTTTGCAACAAATTGTAATACAACCTAGCAACCTCTATCAACAGAATGTTTCTGATTAGTGAGAAAGGCAGTGGAGGTATCCGCTGCGGCAAAACGTCAGAGTAAATAAATAAATACATCCCATGTCAATACTCCCCCATTCAGAAGAATCGGAACCAAACTGTGCGGTTTGCCTTTGTATTTTACTGAATGTACTTTTCTGGGAAGTGACCAAGTTCACCCGTGTAAATTATCTGCATAATATGTTCTGTCTTTTTCTTTTCCCTGATAAAATTTTGAAACCCTCTGAGGAAATCTTACGCCGAAGCGCTGGGCATGTGTCATTAACGTGTTTGGGAACAAAGGCTGCAGCAGAGCCGTGGTGAAAACACTTAACGCCTAACCTGCACTTTCTCTAATGCAATAAGCATTCTTAAAACCTTTTGAATAAGCGATTGGCAGCTGCTTAAGACTCCCCTAAGTGTACAGTGATCTTTTTAGCAGGTTGTTGTGGAGGAGAAAAAAACCCCGAGCTCCAAACCAAAGCAAACCCAAGGCTTGCGGAGGAGCAGGGGGGACCCCGTTTGTCAACCTGGGACAGAAAGCTGCCATAATTAAACAAGTCAGAAAAATGAGTGATGCTAAATACACAGACTTCGGTTGTTTCAATCATTTTCATCCTACAGGTTTTTGCTTGAAGTGAGAATACCATCAGTGAGAAAATCACAGCCATGCTGAATTCATTACTGCAGTAGTCACACAAAACCACGGATAAAATTTCAATAACTGCAGGCCACAGTTGAGTAAACAGTTGCACTGAAACTTAATTCCTGTTGACTTTTCCCTCATTCTTCGCCAGGGGCACATTCTGATTCGTAGTGCAAAGACAACAGGGGTTACAGCTTTGATTAATATAGGACAGTGGAAGAGGAGTGGAACAGTAAAATATGTTCAGCACAAAGGTCTCGTCTTAAAAAGGCTTCGTATCAAAATGAGTTAATTACACTGCGTTTTCCATAGGAGCGCTATGGAATTTTCCAGTGCTGCTTTGTGTAGAGAGAAACTGGGGGGGCGATACAAACACATGCACACTGCAGACCAGAATTGCTCAGACCTCTGCTCCTACCACCAGTAACTAACGCTCACTGCCGGCACCTTGTGCCAGGGCCTCTCCGTAGCCATCCGGAGGGCTCAGGCCGCCTTAGATAACGCCATAATCTTGCCTGTAATGGGTCGTGTCATTCAACAGCCGCCCATTCGGTCAATTAAGGAGTGGCACCAGTTCATTCCTGCGCGGGTCCTCCAGCCCTTCCCCAAACGGTACCGGGCACAGCTACCAGCCCCCGTGGGAGCAGGGCGCGGGGCTGGAGCAGGACTGCCCTGGCCGGATTGCCAGGCTCGGCATTGCTTTCACACACCTCTGATTTTAGCTCACAGTTTATTTATCCTCTGCCAGCACAATAAACGTGGTCGGGGAGCTTGCTTTTCTCCAAGTTCTTAAGACCTTTATGTTCTGTGTTTGAATTCTGTTGTTAATTGGTTTTGATGACTAACTTCTTCATGGAGTTTATCTTCTAAAAAGCAAGTTGATGGCGAGGTTTAAAACAGTTATTTAACAACAACAAAAAAAAGACCTGATAACAACAAAAGGGTAATCGGAGCGAGCATAAAAATATCAATCTTTGTGTTTGGAAAATATTTTTAAATACTGAAAAGAAGAAAAACCCGTTGTTTTCAGACAGCTAATGCAAGCATTTACAGATAACATACAACATAGAGCATAATGTTTAGATGTTTCTCCGTATACAACATATGCTCTCAGGTCACTTAACAGAATGCGTTCTACAAAATGCTTCGTCAATACAAATGAATGAGTTCTGAATTAAACAGCTATTTTTTCAGAGCGTTTCATTCAAATCTTTTCTTTTTGCCACCTGGCACTTGTTTTGTCTGGGGAGGAGGGAAATTGTCAGCGGCGGGAAGTTTGAGCTCTGCGGTGTGGTTAGTTGTGTATTCCCGCCGCAAGCGTGGCTGAGCGCTGAAACTTGGGCGTACCATGGGTTGCATAACGCATCCGTGCTGAATTTTGGTTCGGATTTTTGGTGAAATTCGTGAATTCGTAAGGACTGCTGGTTTTGTCACTGGGAGAAAGGAAAATGGAAATGCTTCGGATTCCTTAGGAAGTTTTAATGGGTTTACAAACTTGTAAATGTTTTAACATGGAAAAATACGGAGCACCACAGATGTTCGTATGTTTGAAGGAACAGTGCGGTGTGAGCACTGTTGCAGTAAGTGCAGGGAGGACTTGTAGGTCAAGTTTTATGCTTTCCATGTCATCTTTGGGTGATTCTGCCATGCAACAAGGCAGAGGATGATGCTAAATGATTTTAGCATTAACACTCTCGTAAAATGTACTGTTAAGCTGGGAGCAGCGGATGCAGGGATGAGTTGTGCTGTGTGTGATAAAACCAAATAGCTCCAACTGATGTTCATATTTGTAATCATGAAGTAAGATACTATTCAGAGAAAGCCAAAGCAATACAAGTGACCCTTACAGGAAAGTACATCTGTGGGAGGATTGGATAAAAATAGAGATACATGGAGAAGACGTTGGCCCCGGAACCAGGCTGAAAGGGTAAGAAAAACCCTTTCCCGCAGTATTTTGGCACCTGCTGAGGCAGGGGAGGTTGCCTTCCTGCTGCTGCTGACTCCACATGTGCTGATGGTCAGCTTCTTGTGGGAATGTCTGTGGGGATGAGGTGGAATGGGCAGGGTTTTTGTGACCTGCTTGTAGAACCTGCATAGGCCGGAAGGTCACCTGGCTCATTGGGCTTCCTGGAGGGACCAGAAGTGGGCGTTTGGCACAGGGTCAGGCAGAGGGGCTCAGGAGCTTACTCTGGAGGTGCCCACAGGGCAGAACGAAGGGATGAGGCAGAAAACCTGGAAACGGGGTACCAAGCAGAATCTGGCAACATCTGCTGGCTCCGAGGTCTCATGGAAAACATCTGGGTGGTGCAGAATGGGTGTCAGAGTGACCCGCAGTCTGAAAGTCAGGCTGGGCGAGGGAAGCTTGGACAGAAAGTATGTAATGATGGGGTGACTCTTGCCTACCAAGGAGCAATAAATAAAGACTCATAGGGGCAAACTGCCTTTTAATGTACACAATCACAGCTTTATTCCTTCAGTGGTTTCTGATGTCAACTCAAATAGAAGGTTTGATGCTCCGGTCTTGGTTCTTTTTTTAGCTTAGAAAATAAATATTATTTATTGTGATTTATTTTTATCCTTGGGACTGTTCATGAAAGTGTTCTTCATGTTATTAGCAGAGAAAGAGGAACATGCATTGAACAAAGAGAACGAACACAAAGTTGAATCCTGATACGTAGCAGCAAGACACCAATTGCTGTGTTGCGTGGTGGCAGAAATACAAACCTCTCCACATCAATAGCAAGATCCACTTTGATACCGTAACTTCAAGTACTGCCCCACGAGTATAATGCTCAGTATCTTTTGTCTAATCCAGAACGCTCAGTATCTTTTGTCTAATCCAGAATGCTTTTGAACTTTTAGGAGGTACGACTTTAATAGTAATTTGTTGACAGATTAGCTGGAGAGATTGCAGAGAGTTTATTTTGCAGAACTGGCAGGCTCGTATCAGTGTTCTCTTAAGGAAAAAACCACACATTGCTGTTTTGCAATTGCTTCCATTTATTGACAACCCGCGCTGAGCAGGCAGAATTGGAATGTTTGTATAATGTAAACCTATAGCTTGTCTGATGGAGTGTAGTGTACTTTTAGGTAGTGCATAGATGGCTTGATAAAAAGGGTTACAAGGTGACTGTGTTTATGACAAACTGGAACAGCAATACAACTGCAACTGGTACGTGGAGAAATAAGGAGGAAGTTTATATAAAGAATTGTAGGGAAGTTTCTTTTCTTCACTTTGTCTTTGAGCTGAACTGTGCTGTAATTATGAAGTGTCACTTCAAGCTTTCTGAAGAGTTTAGATAAATACAAAGTTTTGCCATGTGTCCACAAAGTAAGGAAAGAAGGGTTTTTTCCCTTGAAAAAGATTGGCGGTGTTACCTGTATTTCATTGCATTCTGTTTTGTATTTCTGACGCTTTTATTCCACTGCATGTGTACAAATGAAAACGACAATTTTGTTCAGGTATAGGAGATAAAAAGACTGTTTAATAGACATAAGGAAGTTGGACTGAGCTCTGGTGTCTGTGCCCGAGTCAGTGATTCTTTCACAGTTGGTCTCAGCGGCTGCCCTCGGGGTGGAATCGCTGTCCCGATGCTGCGGTTGGGCCCTTTGGCAGTGGTTGGTAGGAGAAACGGTGAGATGTGGAGTGTTGGGTTGAGGGAAGCGGGCTCCAGAGGGAATACGTGGTTTCTTCTTTGTTCATGTCCAAAGAAGAGGAAAATGTACAAGAAATGGGGGATTTGGTGTTTTGTTGAGAGGCTTCTTTAATTGGGTAGGTGGAAAAGATTAGACTAGAAAGAATTCTGACTAGATCACAGTGTAAATTAAAGTAATGCTTTTTTCTTTTTAATGGTTTAGTGAGTCTACTTATTTCGAAAACCTGTGGGGAGGGGTTACAAACTGCATCAGGAGTTTTATGGTCCCATTGATCGTGATGTGGACTTATCTCTTCAGAACAAAACTGCTAAACTAGATCTGAGATAAAGTCTTTGTTTCATATTGACATAACAGGGTTAGACCGAATTTGTTTGTTAGACTTTGAGGGAGCGTCTGTGTTGAGTCATTTTGTCCGAATAGACGTACGGCCTGATTATTAAACTGCTGTCGCTATTGAAAGAGCCGTTTGAAAGTATAGATTAAACCCAGTGCAGGCTATTGGGATTGTGTCTGATTTGGTATTGCAGTGCACTGATAATTGATGATTACAGCGTGGTGGAAAGATCACTGCGTTTGTAGAGCTTGTGCTGTTTCATCAGAGAAGGTGAAAAACGAACTTTACGCTCCTGGTAACTTTGTGTTTTTACCGTTCAGACTTTTCCCCCAAGTTCTCCCATCTCCCAGCATTGAACGGAAGGTGACATGATGTCTTTTTAGTCATTCAAATCTAATAACTTTTAATCTGAAGGTTAAGTAGTGAGATATAAACTAAGAGATGATAATATCAATTTTATGTTCACTGAAGGGCACAATATACCTCTTTCTAGTAGAGGGAAAATTGTGCGTAAAATGTCTTTTGCTTTTCAATGGAAAAGCTGTGGCTCTGAGAGCTTAGGAATGAAGCAGCGCTGGAAAAATTAAATAAGTTTTAACGTAGGCTGGCTACCTTGCCTGGATTTTAGAATCAATGATTTTTTTCCTTAATAATTCAATTTTTAGATGTCTTGTCAATGAACCATGCTGAGAACATTCGTGCAGCATGCTCTAGCCTCACTGTTACTAATGTCTTTGTTATAACTACTTATTGACATCAACAAGCCTTAAATTTTCTCTAGCTGTTGAAGGGTAAGGGGAAACTACTGCTTTGTTGCACTTGCTGAGATTATTGTTCTTCCTTTGCCTTGGTTTTGTTTTATTTTCCTTCGAAGGTCTTTGCTAAATAACTGCATAAATTTGAGTCCTCAAAGCACCTTGACATTGGCACCCGGAGCGCTGCAGTTGTGTGTGTGGATACAAGCATGGACGTGCAGGAGCTTGGGTCGTTAGACGTGTAATCACCTGGATTACGTGCACTTCCAAATCCAGAAGTCCTCTTTAGGCTCTGGGTGGCTATTTCTGGGGGTTTTGGTTTCTTTTTTTATTTTTATTTGTTTACAATAACTACTTTTACTTCTGGTAAATTAAGATCATGCAGTAATCGTTTTGGTTTATGTGGGCTCTTTGAAGAGATGTAACTTCTGAACTAAGTTTGCTGGTTTGTTTTTCAGCCTTGCATCTCATGTGAAAATTCAGCGGTGGTATGTTTGTTCCCAGCTGTTTTCATAGGTGTGCACTCTCCCCTTACATTTGCTTATGCTTACTCATAAGCAATAAAGTTACACATTCAGGAGTGCTGTTTAGGGAAACTCCACAAAGGAATGCTTTAAAGCTATTATCCAGCATGTGTGTACACTGCGGATGAAGTTCAGTAGGCAGCAGATACAAATTAAAAGTCTATTTCAAATGATTGATGTCTTTCAGATTATTAGAGACTGTTCCTCCTGCATTGATTTTTGTACTTCATGGGTTATCTGATGGTGCAGTTGAACCTGGGATGGACAAACCTAAGACGGTAGTGTGCCTGTGGAGGTGTAAAGCAGTCGTTAATTCACATGGCACTGTTCCTCACTGTGGCT